TAACTTGATAAGGTATTTTACATATAGGAAAAAGGGTGTATTTTAATTTAATATAAGAGTCATTAAAATCTATTCACTCTCTTAGTATAAAAAATATTTACAAAAATTTGTCAAAGAAATATCAGAGATTGTGCAACGCTGTAAATTGTAGAACTCTGCTAATTTTTTGAAAAGTTATGGTGAATATTTTTTATACTAAAAGTGAATAGATTTTAATGAAACTTATATTAAATTAAAGTACACTCTTTTGTCTATGCGTAGAATACTTCTTTCGGTTATAAATTTAGCATGTAAAGTTCAGAAAATGTCAGAGAATGTAATGCTGCAAATTGTGCATCTTTGCAATTTCTTTGAAAAGTTTCAGCAAATATTTTTTATACTTATAGCTAGCGGATCATAATGATTTTTATATTAAATTAAAGTACACTCTTTTGTCTACGCGTAGAGTACTTTTTCGAGTTATAAATCAATCTGCAAAGGTTCGCCGAAACTTTTCAACGAAATGGCAAAGTAGGAAAAATCTGCAGCATCGCATTCTTTGCCATTTTATGAACCTTTTCAAATTGATTTATAACTCGAAAAGGTATTTTACGCGTAGACAAAAGAATGTACTTTAGTTTAATATAAATTTCATTAAAATCTATTCACTTTTAGTATAAAAAATATTTACCAAAACTTTTCAAAGAAATTGCAAAGATGCACAATTTACAGCATTGCATTCTCTAACATTTTTTGAACTTTACATGCTAAATTTATAACTTGATATGGTATTCTACGCGTAGACAAAAGAGTGCGCTTTTATTTAATATAAGTTTCATTAAAATTTATTCACTTTTAGTATAAAAAATATTTACCAAAACTTTTCAAAGAAATAGCAAAGATGCACAATTTACAGCATTGCATTCTCTGACATTTTATGAACTTTACATGCTAAATTTATAACTCAAACAAGTATTCTACGCATAGACTAAAGAGTGTACTTTAATTTAATATAAATTTCATTAAAATCTATTCACTTTTAGTATAAAAAATATTYACCAAAACTTTTCAAAGAAATAGCAAAGTTGTACAATTTAAAGTATTGCAATCTCTGATTATTTATCGAAATCAATTAACAATATATCTTTAATAATAATCTAATTAATTTATTTTTCAAGAAATATAAGAAAGGTTTTTCGTACATATGAAGAGGAGGAGAGTTGAAAAGTTTCGAGCCTAACATAGAAACATCTTTTTTCGATTACTTTTGTTTAAAAATAAGAAGAAAAAGAAAACCAGTTTTTTCTTTGTGTCGAAATTTAATAAAACTTATTAACTTAATCTTTTCCTCTTATATATCGGGTGAGGCATTTTAAACAAACCATCCGAATAACTCGATTGCTATAGGGGATAGAAAAAAATGTTTCGGACGAAATGTATTTGGTTTTGGAAGGGTGGATGGAATAATCCCATGTTAAAAGATCTGTTTTATTTTTTTTTTTTTTTCTATCTGTGGATGTGTAGAGAACGTACGATGATCAACTACGATATTTTCCCTTTTTCTTTTTTTTTTTTTTTTCTTTTTTTTTTTTAATAAAATGATACATATTTTTCTCTACGTTTTTATCCAATAGGACGTTTTGCATCGCGTACAATGAGCTATGCAAGGGATTTTCTATTATTATTTATTGTAAAAAAAAAAAAAGAAAAGAATAAAAAAAATATATAAAAATGTAACGTTCAACATAGTAAATGTACGTCATACTTATACGTAGGTGGATTGAAAAGTATTGAATTCAACGTAGAAAATAATTTTTCGTTTTTTTTTTTTTTTTTGCTTTCTTTTGGTCTCGTTCCAACTAACTTTTATTTAAAAGCAAATAAAAAGAAAGAAAGAAAGAAAGAAAATAAAAGTACTTTTTAAATTGTCGAAGTTTAAAAGTATTTAACTACTCATCCTCGTACGTCAAACGAATTTATGTCACCCTCGAAATCGAGTAAGTCTCGTTTGAAATATTTGTATTTTTGATTTTTTTTTTTGTTTTTTTTTTCCCCCCCACCTATCACCAAATAACAATCGTATTTTTTCCAATGGCGCGTTTTAAATATCACACTGGGTGTATTCATCTAAAAGAAAAATTCCATTGTTCTCTCTTTCTCTCTCGCTCGCATTGTGAATACATAGGACTATGCATGTGCATGCATGCATGCATACATGTATTATATATACAGTTGGCCATAGAGTGATATCATCAAGAACTTTACATACTTCATTTGCATGCGGTAAAATGAGGATGATTTTATCAGTCCAAGGATACTACTTTATCTACTATTCAATATTCTAAGAAACTTACTAGTTTCTAATATTATTCTCCTACTAACCAATCGAGACGTAAACGTTTTCAAACTTTTTTCAAATATTTTATTCTATCATCACGTACTTCTACAAAATTTTATTCTCCCACACGGTCTACTTCCTACTAGATATTTTTTTCTAAATTAAATAAATTAATATATCTTGATGATTTTATCTCAAAATCAAAAAAAAAAATGTTAATTGATTTTCATTAGAACAAAACAACAAAAAAAAAAGAAAAAAAGTTCTATTCGTATAATTTAAAGACACATTTTTATATTTCTCGTGAAATAAAAATATAAATTGTTTACTTTAAAAAAAAAAAAAACAAATGTATACACATGTACACGTTGTGTAGGTGTGTACATTTGTATAATTTGTTTTTATTTAAAAATGCAAACAAACAAACAAATAAAATATAGATTTATTCTAGAAAATGGTGTTCAAATATTCATATATATATATAATACAAAACTATAGTTTTATTTAACGTTGATATAAAGTAACAATTTAATCTTCTTACCTGAAGATATAAAAGCTCCTATCTCGCGTCTAAAAATAGTAAAAACCTTTTAAAAGATAGAATAGTATGGATATAAACAAGGAAATGGTAGGATATAAAAATTTATCATTACTTTCGAAGCTAGCTTAGTATGTCCTTGAAAAAAAAAATCATATATTCTCGACCAAAAAAAAAAAAAACGCGCAAAATTATAAATATCCTTCATATATAAACGTTATAATATCATAAAATACCATATACTTTATATTTAATGAAAAAAAAAAAAAAAAAAAAAAAAAAAAAAAAAGAAGTAGAGTTCCAAGAANAAAAAAAAAAAAGAAGTAGAGTTCCAAGAATAAAAATACACGATGATTTATTTAATTTTCTAACTGGTAAAATATTACTAAAAACAAACAAAAAAAAAAAAGAAAGAAGTAGAGAAAGAGAGAGAAGGATACGATATAATACATCGTAGAATGAAATTGAAATGAAAGGGGCAGGGGAGGTTGTGACATTTGAAGAATTACAAAATTAAATTGATATATGAAATATATATATTATTATTATTATTACTATTATTATTATTATTATTATTATTATTATTGGATAAAAATAATCGTCTGTGTGGTTTTCTTGAGGTTTTTCGAGAGAATGTTTCATTTTCTGTAAATGCAAACAATAAAAATAAAAATAAAAATAAATATAAAAAATAAAAAGAACAAGAAAAAGAGAGGGAAAGAGAGAGAGATAGAGAGAGAGACAGAAAATTTTCTGAGTCTTCTAGCTGGCCTTGCCTCACCTTCGTGAGTTCAAGGATTTCATGTGTATGTACAATGTTCTATCGTGTTACTAGTTATAACAGGTAGGTATAGAGAATGAGAGAGAGAAAAGGAATGGGGGGAGAGAGAGAGAGAGAGAGAGAGGAATGGGTTTCTATAGGGGATGCTGATATGGGCCAGGGTCAAATTCTCTACGGGGTCGAATCGAGCTACGTCATTCCAAACCCAACAATCGTTGCTTCTTGCTTGACCTCCTTCGAATCAAATATGTTATTTCCAAAGTTCCTATATATATGTATACGGGTTTATGTTCGTGGTATGTGGTGTATGTATGTATGTATATAAAAGAACGTTATTTTGTATTTTATGGTTTTACGATGACTTAATAATATTTTTGTTTCAATTTAATGATTTTAGAAGAGACACATACAAACATACATATGTTATTAATTATGGTATTAATAATAAATCAAGGTTTTTTTCTGTTCCTGTATATGTCTCTTGCATAAATATTGCACATTATTATGGCTTTTAATGTTATAATTGAAATATTGTTTTTTTTTTTTTT